AATGTGTATTCTGAAAATGATTTTCTGCCCTTTTTGCTATTGAGGGTCTCTCATGACAGAAAGAGATTTCAAACCACAAACTTAGCCAGGGGCCAAGCAGTTAAGGGACATGATGATCACGGGGACAAGAACAAGCCACGACCCAGTGTTGAATTGGTATTACCGCCTGTGTGTTTGTAAGACAGTGTGTGTACACATGGCGGGATGGAGGTTAGGCAGTGAAAAATGAGGACTGTCATCTCGACTGGTACCACCACAAAGCCTGCCTAAACCAACACACGCAACCACTTAGCCCAGTTTCCTATGGTGATAACATCCGCCCAACTGAGTCTCCAGGCGGCCAAAACTCCGCCCAACCGAGTCTCTGGGTGGCATACAGTCCACTCCGCCCAGTCTCCATAGTGACAAGGTCTACTCCGCCCTGTATCAGAGTGACACTGTCAGTTGAGAAGCCACGAGCGGGAGACAAAGGAGATGGCACCCCATGTCTCCTGCGGGTATCTCCCGCAATCTTTTTAACAAACTTTTTTTTTGGGAGGAATACATATTTGTGAACTGCGAGAGTCCCTGGCTAAGAAAAGGAAGGAGGGAGGGAGGGCGGGCGGGCGATCAGGAGCGTGGTTGAAGGGAAGACGTGGGGATGCAAAGGGATATAAAAAAAATTAATGTAAACCTTTGAAGTCTCATTTCAACATCAAGCATTGCTTTTTCAAAAAAAAAAACAAAAAAAAAGAGAGAACTAGTCTCAGAAATATGTAGCGAAAAAAATTGAATTTTTCCCAGGACATTCTTATACAACTTTGTTTTTGTAATTTTTTTTCTTCATGCAAATATCATGGGCCCAAATTATTGATGTAAGTTGCCTGATTCCATGGTACGCTATTTTCTTTGTAAAAAAGAGAGAGACACGTTTTAGGATTCTTTATTTTTTTAAAGAGGAAAAAAAAAGAAAAAACATCTTTTAAATGCAAAAGTGATTTAGCAAACAAGTCTTTTGTTTTTTTTATATATAATATTGTTAGTGACAGTCTGTGTATTTTAAACTGCTGTCTTATTTTTTAAAACATAGATGCGAGACAGGATTGTAAACAGTATGTTTAACAGAAAAAGTAGGTTTAACAGAAAAAAGTAGGCTTAATGAGAATAAAAAGTAGGTTTAATGGGAACAAGTGGATTTAGTGGAAAAAGAGTGTAATTAGTACAAAAAGAGCAGGTTTAATGGAAAATGCAGGGTAGAATTAACAGAAATACGGTAGGATTAGTAGGAAAACACAGTAGGGTTAATGGGAAAAATGACTGTTTAATGGGGGTAATGTGTGTAGAGTTAACAGGGTAAAAAAAGCAGGGTTAATGAATAAAAAATACGACTCAGAGAAAAAAATTAGGTTTCACAGAAAAAGACCACAATTAATGGAAAAAGAGCAGGTTCGGTGGAAAAAAGGGTAGGATTAACCAAAATAGAGTAGGTTTAATGGAAAAAAGTTATTTAACGGGGAAAAAAAGGCAGGTTTAAAGGAAAAAAATGTATGATTTATAGAAAGAAAGTTTAAAGGAAAGTAAAAGAGGTTAACAAAAAAAGTATGAATAATGGATAATTAAGTAGGCTTTACAGAAAAAAGTATGATTAACAAAAAAATTTCATTTAATAAGTAAGTTTGATGGAAACAATTACATTTAATGGAAAAACACAAGTTTATTAAATATGACTACTTTTAACACAGTGGGGGGAGAGAGAGTAGGTTTAACGATCAAAATTATGTTGAACTGAAAAAAAAGTTTAACAGAAACCACTTGATTCAACTTTTAATAAAAAAAAGCTACATTTAAAAGGAGGGGGGAAACTACATTTACCAAAAAAAGTAATTTAATGGAAAATGTAAGTTTAATGGAACAGAGTAGGTTAGAGTAGGTTTAATAAAAAGAAGTTTTAATGGAGAAGACTATGTTTAACACAAAAGAACGTTTAATGTAAAAAGACAGAAGTTTTAATGGATACGACTAGGATTGACAGAAGGAAAAGAGGGATAATGTAAAAAGAGAGGATTTAATGTTAAAGAAAAGTTTTATCGGACAAGACTAGGTTTAACAGAAAAACAGAGAAGTTTTAGTGAGAAAAGGGTAGGCTTAAAGGAAATAAGGTTTAATGTAAAAAGAAGCTTTAATTGAAAG